TTATTACTATTGTTATTTTATTATTATTATTATTACTATTATTATTATTATTATTATTATTATTATTATTATTATTATTATTATTATTATTATTATTATTATTATTATTGTTATTATTATTATTTATTATTATTATTTATTATTATTATTATTATTATTATTATTATTTATTATTATTATTTATTATTATTATTTATCATCATTATTGTTATTTATTATTATTATTATTATTATTATTATTATTAATTATTATTGTTATCATTATTATTAATTATTATTACTACAACGGTTTTATCATTATTATTGCTACTGTTAATTTTTTGTTATCCATCGTACTAAAGTATTAGTATTCATTCATTTATTTCGTTACCGGATGGAAAAAGAGGAAAGAGAAATTTGGTACAAACAAAATAGTCAACTTTCCCACCATTACCTTTGGAAAATTTCGAAAGGATAGAAAGTAAAGAACAACAATAAGATTCCTTATTGAAACACCATCTTTTTCTCCGTCTCTCTCTCCCTCCTTCTCTCTCTCTCACACACACATGAATTTGCTTGTACCATGCTTTTTTTTTCTTTTCCTGTTCTCACCCGTTACACCCCGTTAAATGCTGTCATCGTTGTCGCTTTAGTTATTTATTATACCGAAATGTGAAACGAGGTGTGCTGGTTTAACATAATGCTCTGATATTTTTCATTCAAACTCCAGTTGGGTGCATCCGTTTGAGTTAACCAATCATCTTTGAAATCCTGTTTTATCCTAAAATATCATTCACTACTTCTATCCTTTGTAATTTGAGGTATTAACGTAGATTGTTTATTGAGATTTTGGCGATTGAAATCCTAGGTATAGCATACGTAAATCATAATTACGTACGCCAAAGTGAAAGAATTGTGTATTGATTTTCGTGAAGTAAATGAAGAAGAAACGGTAAAATGAAAATCGAACATTTCGATGGTTAAAGAGTCTAATGACAAATGATTTCAAAGGATGTGTTGACGATGTCCAGGCATTTCGAATTTTTTAATGATGATACTTAGGCTTATTCGGAAGGAATTCGGTGTTGTAACACGCGCGGTTACTGGAGGATTGAGTAAATTGGTTAGTATGCGTTTTCAGTAAGATGTCAGGTGTGTGGGATTTTCTGAAACGACATCGTGGCAAAATTGTTGCTGGGGCAGCTGCTGGAGCAGTTGCGGTTGGAGGGGTATTCGTTATCCAGCAAGCTTGGCGGAATTCCTCACTACAACTTCTTGGTTCTGGATGGAATCGTGATCGAGAATTCAGCCAAACTCAGCTGAAGGTTGGTGGAAGCCGTGTCGTTTGCACTGTTCATTCCATTTTGTTTACCGAATTCCTGGTTTTTGTCTGATTTCGAAATTTCATTTGCTTTGGTGAAAGTTTTGTGTGTATTACGAGAATTTGAATATCTGATTCTAGTACCATACAGGCTCGGCGGTATTACATTTACGATACCCAACATCGGACGTGCGATATTTCAATCTTAGACTTATTACCGGGTATAGCAAAACGAATATCGTTGTATTTCGATGTAGAAGCATTGATTGAGGATCTTAAAAATAACAAGGAACTCAGCAAGGAACAACGAATTGTAATGTGGCAAGATATTAAGGTATGCCGTTATTATTATAAAGGTTTATGTTCTATAGTTTCAACGGACATATTTACGCAGTTATCATATTAGTGCATTACGCAAAAAGATGTAATTGAAATGATGATAAATTTGCACAGAAAACCTGCTCTAAGATGACCCGAGGTTGTGTTCTATATAGTATTGGGAAACGGTCGTGTTGAAGGTATCGGTTAACCTTTGGCGATTTCTGCTTCGCTTCTGTAGACTTGACGATTTCTAAAGTTAAACTAAAAACCTTGTTGTGTCAGCATTCCAACTTTGTGATCTTCATAATCATTTCGACCATATTTTTTTCTACAGTTGTCTCTGCAGTACTGTACATCACTTATTTTATGTTTAGAGTGCTATACGGTACATTTTTCTTTTAACTCTTTTGTAGGTAAAAGCAGTTGGACGAATGGTTGCACTTGCTTATGCATTCTCCTTAATTACTGTGACATTGAAATGTCAAATTTCAATTTTAGCTGCCCAACTTTGCTCATCGTTTACCGAAAAAGAAGATCACTGGTGAGTGGTAAGAAATCAAAATTTTCGAAATGATTATCTCCATAGAAAATCGTTGATTAAAATATTAAACAGTTTGAGGTGTTCAGTGCCTCAGCAACATGTTGATATGTGGTCGAATTTTTGTATCGGTCAAAGCTAGTAGTAGATACGATAGGTGGAATAACGGCAAAGGAGCCTTCATACGAGTGCTAAAGCATTTCATTTCGGTTGCATATTTCACTTATTTAATTTTACCTCCACTTCAAGCAAATACACCTCGAAAGTTTCAACCAAACTGTATTAATGTATTGTTAGTTTAAAGCTTTTATTGTTGAAATATATATTCATCTTTATTGATCGTTTTAGGTGGAATCAATACTTACCCGAGAATCTTAAATTCACCACTTCACTAACGCACCTAACTGGTCCACAGAAATGCACTGTTGACTCCTCTACACAGCAGATTTTCATGAGGTGTTGTCAATTTTTCATTTCTACAGGTGAGGCCTTTTTAGTATAATCGGCAAAATTCATAGTCTAAAAAATTGAAGTAATATATTACTTTAAAACCTCCATGACATGTATTGCGAGTTATTAAAAGGTTTATTGCTCCAGAAAGGGTGAAGATAGAGCATCTGGGGTACTACTTACAGTTGAAAGTAAATCAAGTAAGAATATACAGGTCAGTTAACAATCAATTAACAAAATGTGCTAAAATATTATTTATACATAAGGTATACTAACATTCCGATAAATCCCCTTATTCTTTTTTAATGATATATCAAGAAGTAAATTTACTATTTGTCCTCTTTTGACTACTTACTACTGCGAGATGGTGAAGTATTAAATAAGGCATTAAAGACCTCAAAATATATCATTTTTCGATAAATGAATGTGTTACTGCGATAAATGAATATATTACTGCAGTGATTGCTTGGGATATGCACCACTTATTTTCTTCGGAAGTTAAGCATTTTGAGAATTTAAATTTAAACTGGGAATCATTTTCTTTATCGTTCTTAACAAATTATTTCGAGCTTATATGCATGACAGAATGCTGACTGTGTAGAGAAATGTAAAATTCATGTACGTACAAGCAAACTTTATCAGGCTTGGATGATTTATTGAAAAGCATCGAAAATGTCTGTAAAGCACAACTGGAAGAGTTGGAGTTAAAAACACCAGTAGATGGAGAACACCTAAAAGCGATTTTGTTAAATCTCAAGAGAAGAATGGATCTGTTGGACTGTCGACATTTTTCATATCTCATCGTACCGAAATATGCGAATAAGGTAGTCATTTCTAATCGCATCTGAATTTTCTGACTTTATATGAATTTTATATTCCGATTGATTATATCATATGGATTCCGTTTTATTTCCTAGAATGGCTTTGCGTTGCCAAATTTTGATCAACTGGATGTGCTTCTAAAACGTCTCGTAGAAATGTTAGAATCAACAAAATGCAAGGAAGTAACATCATCGCTGGTTGATTTCTTCTTTGATGCTATTGTAAACGTAAGTTTAAAACATCTCATGGTTTTTCCGTAAATCGTTTAACTGGTAGTTTTGACCATACTTCATAGGTATTTTTGTTGAGTTTTCATTTGGATGAGATCTATTGTCCGTTTGCTTATTTTTGCAAGTAATTTTATTTTTCAGAGCATAGTAAAGTTTGTCGTTTTGTAAATCATTTTGTTGTAATGTTGCGTATAAGTTTCAGTTTGTGAACCAACATAGTAGGAGTCGCGAGATGCCGATAGCACGAGTATTACCTTTAATTACGGACAGTTTCCATGCCTTATCTCGAAGTGGTTTTGACTCGCCAATACAAAATATTCTTTGCTCCACCGAACTGCACTCACTTTCCATGCATGTTTTTTCACTTCCTCCTGTTGAACTGTGATAATTTTTCTTGATTTGTTTGCATATATTTACTGTTCTTTTCATGATTTTTCATGACTTAACGTTCTTCATAGTCTTTAAAGTGGAGTTTTGAATTGTTGAGAGCAAATGAAAGGAATTCCGTCAACGATCAATTCGTATATTCAATGGATTAAACAATCTAAGGATAAACGATTAAGAGGGTTGTCATCTGTTATATGGAAGGCATACAAATTTGTAATCCACGGGAATTGTCTTGTTCTATAGGTATTTTCATATCATTTTCTCTGAAAGGTTCGTGTAGAATCGCTCAGGAATACATATCACCAGGGATCGGTGTTAATGTTTAGTCAGTGTTCATTTTATTTCAAGCCAAATTGTGTAGAATTAGTCAAGATGTGGAGCTTCCGTATGTGACGTGATGGTTGGGACAGATGAATAAAGTGTAGTGGTGTCGATGCACAAATGATTTGGCCTTGAAATGATAAAATCATAGTTTCGCTCTTCATTTTTCTTTTTTTTGTGCCTCCAGATCATGATCAAATAAGCAACTATTTCTCTGTATTATTTGATTTTCATGATTTTGCGTCGGTAATAATTATTTGTTGCATCTTGAGTATCCCGCATGTTGTTAAGTTTGCTACTTAAATTGATTTAAGTTCCTCATTTCTTTGACTCTTTTAAAGTTGCTAAGAATCATATCCATTGATTTCCTAAAAACTTCTCGTTTAAGTGGACGGCTTGATTTTTATGTTTAAGAAGTGCAAGTTCAAGATTTGTAGAAGTCCACACTCACAAGTAGTAGTGATCAAATAACCCTAAACAAAGTTGACAGAATATGCTGTAAACGGTTGTGTGTGATGTCATTTCATGAATATTTGTAGTTCGATATATTTTAAATTAATCTGAGCTATCGATTACCGAAAACATCTGTTGTAATAATCCGTACAGTAAGTACGGTAAATGATCAATAGCTTACGATTAGCCAGGAATATGTCGAACGTGATCAGTAGATCAATCTTTTGCATTTAATGCATTGTTTTTTCTTGCGCTTTTTGATAAATATATAAACTTTTCGCATATTTTAGTAAATATGTATGACTTATTTCATTAATTATCACTACTACTGTTTATGAAGACATCGAAATATCGATCTCAACTTTTCATATCTTGCCAAAGTTCTAGTTTGAGTTGAGAGGGCTCGTCATTTTGTATTGTTTCCAGTGGATGGGAAGTTGCTAAAATCACTGTCAAAAAACTTTGTAAATGAAGTTAACTTGTGTGACATAACTAAAACGACTAAATCTACTGAAATTTGTTTCTCCGGTTGCCACTTTTTCCGACCATTATATTACCGTAATTCCAGTTGTGGATATGCCCGATGAGCGAAAGCTATATAAATATGCAACATATTTGAGCAAGTGTTCACGTGAGGTGGGTATACGTTTTACCTCGCTTTGTGGTTTTACAGCTGTCCAAATGTTGAGTTGGTCAGTAAGAATCATTTGGGTTTCCCGACCTTTAAATATCACTTGTGATTCTGTTTGGCTTGTTGAAACTTGTGTCTTTCGTGTATTTCGAGTTCAATTTTGGGAAAAGTTCACGTGAGGTAAGGTATCTCATTCCTGTTAAAAATATCGCAATGGGAATTTCAGGCAATCGATTACGGGAAGTGTGTTGGGGAGAAAGCTGAAAAAGTGACTCATTTGATGTGTCAACGTGAATTTACATTGCTGCTAAATTGTGTGAAGAAACAGGTACAATACATATACGTGAGAAAAAACCTTTCCAATTTATATGTTTTTTCATTCTTTCCTTTGGCTATATGAATAATAATACAGCACAACCTATATGGCTAATTTTTCTGACTTATTTAAATAAATTGTAGTATAACTCAAAAGTTGAAATTTAGTTCATTTGGAAGTTATAGAAGATAAACTTGAAAAAATAAACAAACTTGGAGAGATTTTGAGATTCCTGGTCGCATTGCAATTCAGTTGGCCCTGCGAAAGATTCTTCAAATGACAGAATCCATCATCCTTTCGTTGATTAGTTCATCATTTCCAGTTTTATTAATCTATTTTTCTATCTTCTAAAATATTTATTCGGTCAAAAAAAAATTGAAATGCAGATAGCTTCTAAGAGATGAAGGTAAAACGATACAAACGAGCGAAACGTATCATCTCCATTTATCGGCACAACTTTAATTTGGAGCCACCTTACCAGGTTTTGCTCGATGGTACTTTTGCAATGGCTGCACTTCAAAATAAAATTAATTTGCGTGAACAGATGCCGAAATATTTAAATGCTGTAAGCTTTTTCTGTTCGTTTTCCAGAATAACCCATTGTTATTGTGTATGCTTGGTTAATGTATATGCACTGTTATTGGTTCAGCACCGTATTAGCTTTAATTTGATGTACTATTATTGTGCCAAACAGCCTTACTTATGTATTTTTTGTTATTGTTGTTGTTATGTTAGATGTAAAGTCTTTAATTTCTAAAATTTATTTTTGTTATCTCTGAAGTTTAGGAAGTTGATATACGAGTGACCAATTGTGTGCTTAAGGAGCTAGAAAAACTAGGACATACATTGTACGGTGCATTGCATATTTGCAAACAGTTTGATGTAAGCTTTTTTCTTTTCCTGTTTTCTTGCTTTACTTTTTTCTCCTTTACTTTTTTAAATGGGAATGGCTAATTTTTATTTTCCCGAAAATCTACCAACTAGTGAGAATATGTTTTAGGTTGAATTGTGTCCCCATCATCCTGTTCGAACGGCAGTGGAATGCATCAAGCATATGGCGCGTAGAATGAAACGTAGAACAATGTATTTTTTTGCAACACAGGTAAGAATTGTAATATGTCTGAATTTCTAACTGATATGGATAATCATCCATAAATTTTAGGATCATGAGCTCACAGAAGCCTTGAAGCAGATTCCCGGCATACCAATCTTATTCATCAAATATAATGCAATTTTGATCGATAGACCCAGTCAAGCTACCATTCAGGTTAACCACTAGTTATTTAAATTGATAAATTTCATAGTCCTATCAGTTGATTTCAAATTATCCTCACAGTTTATGTTCTTTCTGAGCATGTCGCATGCATCTAGATAGTTTCTATGAGTGGTGAAAGTTGTATGTTTAATCATCAAAATAAGTATTGGTATTTGAAAATTCTAAGCTTTTAGGAATGAATTTAGATATGCATTTGAAAACGATGGCTAAGATTTTGATTTAGTCTTCTCTAGGAAATTGAAAAACCGAAGGATCAACTAATTGAAGTGAACGAATTGAAAAAGGCGGTGTTTGGTAAAGAAGAAAAACCGAGACGGAAGCGAAAAGGTCCAAAAGGACCGAATCCCCTTTCGGTCAAGAAAAAGAAGAGGAAGATCCAGTTGACCAATATTCATCAGGAATTGCAGCCAAGTGCGAAAACTGCTTCCTCCAAGAGACGCCGCCGGAAAAGGAAGAGAGAAAATGAGGAGCAGTAAATACAACTCTTTACAGTTGTCATGTGACTTTTGTATTGCTCTTTTGGTTCAAAATAAACTTTTTGCAGTGAAATCCTAATTCTTCTCTTTGCAAATTTACACATCAGTTTTTTCATTCTTTTTCTTTGTCCGAATTTCATCTTCCCAAATTTGTTGTCCGTTAAGATGAGTTCGAGCTTTAGTTACATGGCATTTATTTACTTGTTTTGTTACACAAATTTCGTCTCTACAAACCTCTTTATTCCGTCCTTCCCGCTTAAGTTCTTTAAATTTGGCCTATCTTATCATTATGAGGTAGGCTAAATTCAGGAAACTTAAACAAAACCATTTACTCTATGATATCCGTATCTGGATACAAGAGAGAATAAAAATTGAAACGATGAGTGGATACTTGATCGGACGGATAAGCTAAAGTTCAAGATAATTAGACATTAGCTCTGATTGGCTAACAACTCGATTCTTCATATCATTGTCGTGAAATAAAATGTAAATAATGTGAACAAAACAGCTTTCATGTCCCTTACTTAGCCGTTGATGTTCATTGAGGAATTAAGGGAGGAATTTTAAACATATGTGATTGCGAGTTATTTTGAGATGAACTCTCTCTCTCTCTTCCCCTCTCCTCTTTCTCCCTCTCTCCCTCTCTCTGACATTTTGTCGATGAAGTCGATCCAGCTAGTTAATCATTAATTATCTCAATCAATTATTAATTTTTATCCATTAAATTTGTTTTTTGATTTTATATCAATAGTAAATTGTGGTACTTGATGACATGTCACATGAGATGATCACTATTCCCTGTTTGTTATTATTAAGGTGGAAGTAAGATTATGTTGTATGATTTCTCCTCTTGAATATGATTACTTCCTTAAAATTTCACCTTTCTCCCTTTCTTCTTCAGCAAATAAGGTTAAGCAAATGTTTTGAGTTTTTTCAGATTGATTTCTTCGATTCATTTTAACAAACAGTTTTGTGATATATCATTAAAATGAATACCAATGATAGGACAATAGCGCTGCTAGGCTCTCTTTTCAATCATTTAAATTACAATTGTTGGATCATTTCATGCAAATGTATCCCTTCGTAATGATATGATTCATTATGCACAACGATATATGGATTTTCTGAATAATATCTTAGATGTTACTTATTCAATTAATAGCGCTAATTAAGACTGTTAGTAATTTGAATAGATTACATATAGTTACACTGATTAGCATATTAGGATAAGAATTTATTCTTTAATTCAAAGCATATTTGTATGGCGCAGTTATTTAATGAATTGTTCATTAAATGATATGAAAAATTATCATAACTTTTTGTTCTTTACATATTTAATTTATTAAAAAATGAGAAATTTGCATTATAAGAAACGTTTTGGTTTTAAATTCCAATTTCATTTTCATCATTAATTACAATTAATTAATCAATTACAAAAGTTTATTGTACTGAAATGAGAGACAACAGCGTAGAAATGTCTTCCATTTCCTTGTAGCATTATTATCTCAATTGCTAAATTAAAAAAATTAATCTGATAGAAATGCTATTTGGATTTTATTTTTGATTTTAAATTTAAATTTAAAATTGAATGGTTGGAATGAATGGTTAAAACTTTGATCTTCACATTCAAAAAAAATTTAACGATCAATAATTATTGCTTAATGTTTGAGTAAAAAAGAAAAAATGCCTTCCACTAATTCTTCCAGATTTTTCCTTTTGGTTTATTTATGATTTGAATTTTTTTTTGCATAATTTATAAATTTTCCAATATTCCCTATATGTCTATCCATTCAAAGATGAAAAATTAATTATCATACTATGGTACTAATTGATATACCTGATACGTTTCATTAACGCTCTATTTTTCCTCTATCATTTTGAGCCATTCTCTAATGAAATAATATTATGTATGAAAAGAAGTGATGAAGTGTAATATGTTGTAATTAATTACTGTATATTAAGTCTTCCTTTCAGATTACTTTAATAAATCTATTATTGACAACATAGTAGCCATTAGGCTCAAATGTATAAACTAGTAGCCATCAGGCTCAAGTGTATAAACTGGTAGCCATCAGGCTCAAGTGTATAAACTAGTAGCCATCAGGCTCAAGTGTATAAAGTAGTAGCCATCAGGCTCAAATGTATAAACTAGTAGCCATCAAGGTCAAATGTATAAACTAATAGCCATCAAGGTCAAATGTATATCAAGATCAAATGTATAAAATAGTAGCCATCAGGGTCAAATGCATAAAAACTCCTAGTAAATGTCTAAATATT